TAAGCACTGTTCACCACTGTTCACCTCTGTTTAACACTGGTTCCATTTCTTTCCTAAATGAAATAGTAACTTCTGGCGTGAACTTGTTGATATTCCGGTGGGGAGGAGGGTTCAGGAGGGAGTTGGTATGGGCCAACATAGCAGTTGACCTGGCTGCCTGGAGAGGAGCGCCAGGTACGTCTGGACCTTCGGTGGTCAAGGATGTGTGTGTGTGTGTGTGTGTGTGTGTGTGTGTGTGTGTGTGTGTGTGTGTGTGTGTGTGTGTGTGTGTGTGTGTGTGTGTGTGTGTGTTTGTGTGTGTTTCTGTGTGTGTGTGTGTGTGTGTGTGTGTGTGTGTGTGTGTGTGTGTGTGTGTGTGTGTGTGTGTTCTGTGTGTGTGTGTGTGTGTGTGTGTGTGTGTGTGTGTGTGTGTGTGTGTTTTGTGTGTGTGTGTGTGTGTGTGTGTGTGTGTGTGTGTTTTGTGTGTGTTTTCTGTGTGTGTGTTTCTGTGTGTGTGTTTCTGTGTGTGTGTGTTTCTGTGTGTGTGTGTGTGTGTGTGTGTGTGTTGAGAACAGAAAGAAAGAAAGAAAGAAAAAGAGAGAGAGAGAGAGAGAATTTCTGTACTGATTTCAGGAGTGTAAATTTACCTGTGAAGTGGAAAAGAAAATTGTATATTGACCTTTCTTTCTCCTCACTCTTTCTTTCTTTCCGTTCTCAACACACACACACACACACACACACACACACAACAACACACACAACACCACACACGATGATAAACTAGATGGAGATGATTGGGAGGTCCCGGAAAGGTCGTATCTCTCCCGTAGAACCATCACTTAAGGGCGTCTGTCTCCTGCAGGTGGTGAGTGTGACCCAGGGAGCCAGTACAGGTGCCCTAACACTCGGTGTTTATACCTGGCTAACGTGTGTGATTCGCTCTGTGACTGCTTACCTGACTGTGCTGACGAGGCTAACTGTACCCAGTCTACTAACGCCACTTACTCCATCGCTGACGTAACGTAATCTAATGGTCTCTTTACTCTTAAGTAGTTACTCTAGTTTACTGTTCTTTTTCTAGTCATTTACTCGAGATTACTTTTATTTTGTTTATTCCAGTTTAGGAAATCCTGCTTTTTACTCTACTTAGTCTGAATTTCGTGACCTATTTACTCTATTTCGTGATCTCTTTTTCGTGACCCCTTTACTCTATATTTCAGACCTCTTTTTCGTGACCCCTTAATCTATATTTCGTGACCTCTTTACTCTATTTCGTGACCCCTTACTCTATATTTCGTGACCTCTTTTTCGTGACCCCTTAATCTATATTTCGTGACCTCGTTACTCTATTTCGTGACCCCTTACTCTATATTTCAGACCTCTTTTTCGTGACCCCTTACTCTATATTTCGTGACCAACAGGAGTGAGGATGTGTGAAGTTGGTTCATCGCTCAGCTGTACCGTCGCCAGCCAAGACCGCAATCACGACCGCTGTATCTCTCCCAGCTATATCTGTGACGGCCGTAACGACTGTCACAACGGCGGCTACCTCTCTGACGAGTATGGTTGTGGTGAGTGTTAACGATGTGACGCCTGTAACGATTTGTAACGACGGTAGGTGTTGTGATGAATGGATACCGTACTCTAGTGGTGGTAATTGTGTGCTGTGGTGATTGAAATAAGTAGGTATGGTTGTGGTTGACGGGATCGGTGGTTGGTTGTTGTGGTTGTTTAGTGGTAGTAGTTGGTGTTTCATGGTGTATGTTGCAGGTTACCATGAATGAAAAAATCACATTAAATAGAGAGGTAATACCATGATTTCAGTGATAAAAAGATATCACCTCGACTTTTTCTCGACCTTGCTTCCGTGTTACTGGAATTTCAAGATTAATTTGGTTCCTTTGATGTTGGCGATGGAGGCAAAATTGTGTTGTCGTAATTCTGACCACAATAACGCATGGTTGGGAGTTTTGTCCTATGTGTGTGGCGCGTGGGTGTTTTATGTGTAACAGAATGATTGGTTGGAGTCTCTCACAAAGGATATTATTGAAACGCAACTGTGTGTGTGTGTGTCTCCAACAACTTTGTCAACACTCATTATATACACACAGTTCTGCCCCCACACACACACACACATACACACACACACACACACACACACACACACACACACACGCGCATATTAAAGGGAAGTGACGTTGAATTTTTTTGATATTTGAACAAGTTTTCTTTCCCGCCAGACATTTACCGTCATCGGCTTTGTTGAGTATTGAAGGATTATTGCTTTGTGTTGCAGATACAGACGATTGAATACAGCTGCCTAGAGACCCCGGTTTGGCTTTGACGATTTGTTACTGTTGTTATTTTTGTTGCTGCTATTGTTATTTGTACTGGTATTGTTATTATTATTGTTGTTATTATTATTATTATTATTATTATTATTATTATTATTATTATTATTGTTATTAGTACCGTACTATTAATTGTGCGATTATTATTAGAATTTAACCTTTGAGACCACAGATCCTAAATCAGCACAAAATCCCAGTTACAGGAGGAGGAGGTGGTGTGGTGTTATAATCTTCTGTAACTCCTGTAACTCAACACTAACGCCCCTTTATGTGTTACAGGGAGGAGGAGGTGGTTCTGAGGGTGGTATTAGCGGTACAAGCCAATGGTTCAAGTGTGAAGACGGCCGCTGTCTCCCTCCCAACCTACGCTGTGACTTCAAGTACGACTGTCTCCTTGGTGACGACGAATACAACTGCTGTGAGTACCGCCAACTTTTAGCCCTTTTGAAGCCCTCGCGTAGGGGGGGGGGTATTTTCAATGAAGGTTGTTAATGAGTATCCAGTGTTGTAGTCCGTCCTCTCATTCTCTAGTACTGCCCTAGTCTCAATGAGGTGTAGAACTGTTGTTACCTTTACGTGGGTTAATGTTATCAGTAATGTGTAGAACTGTTACCTTTACGTGGGTTAATGTTGTAAGTAATGTGTAGAACTGTTACCTTTACGTGGGTTAATGTTGTAAGTAATGTGTAGAACTGTTACCTTTACGTGGGTTAATGTTGTAAGTAATGTGTAGAACTGTTACCTTTACGTGGGGTTAATGTTGTAAGTAATGTAGAACTGTTACCTTTACGTGGGTTAATGTTATCAGAATGTAGAACTGTTACCTTTACGTGGGTTAATGTTGTGTAATGTGTAGAACTGTTACCTTTACGTGGGTTACTGTTGTAAGTAATGTAGAACTGTTACCTTTACGGGTTAATGTTGTAAGTAATGTGTAGAACTGTTACCTTTACGTGGGTTAATGTTGTAAGTAATGTGTAGAACTGTTACCTTTACGTGGGTTAATGTTGTGGTAAGTAGAACTGTTACCTTTACGGGTTAATGTTATCAGTAATGTTATCTTACGTGTTAATGTTATCAATAATGTAGAACTGTTACTTATAATGTTGTAAGTAAGTAAACTGTTACCTTTACGGGTTAATGTTGTAAGTAATGTGTAGAACTGTTACCTTTACGTGGGTTAATGTTATCAGTAATGTGTAGAACTGTTATCTTTACGGGTTAATAAGTAATGTGTAGAACTGTTACCTTTACGTGGGTTAATGTTGTGGTAATGTGTAGAACTGTTACCTTTACGTGGGTTAATGTTGTAAGTAATGCGTAGAACTGTTACCTTTACGTGGGTTAATGTTATCAGTAATGTGTAGAACTGTTACCTTTACGTGGGTTAATGTTGTAAGTAATGTGTAGAACTGTTACCTTTACGTGGGTTAATGTTGTAAGTAATGTGTAGAACTGTTACCTTTACGTGGGTTAATGTTGTAAGTAATGTGTAGAACTGTTACCTTTACGTGGGTTAATGTTGTAAGTAATGTGTAGAACTGTTGTTACCTTTACGTGGGTTAATGTTATCAGTAATGTGTAGAACTGTTACCTTTACGTGGGTTAATGTTGTAAGTAATGTGTAGAACTGTTACCTTTACGTGGGTTAATGTTGTAAGTAATGTGTAGAACTGTTACCTTTACGTGGGTTAATGTTGTAAGTAATGTGTAGAACTGTTACCTTTACGTGGGTTAATGTTGTAAGTAATGTGTAGAACTGTTACCTTTACGTGGGTTAATGTTGTAAGTAATGTGTAGAACTGTTACCTTTACGTGGGTTAATGTTGTAAGTAATGTGTAGAACTGTTACCTTTACGTGGGTTAATGTTATCAGTAATGTGTAGAACTGTTACCTTTACGTGGGTTAATGTTGTAAGTAATGTGTAGAACTGTTACCTTTACGTGGGTTAATGTTGTAAGTAATGTGTAGAACTGTTACCTTTACGTGGGTTAATGTTATCAGTAATGTGTAGAACTGTTACCTTTACGTGGGTTAATGTTGTAAGTAATGTGTAGAACTGTTACCTTTACGTGGGTTAATGTTGTAAGTAATGTGTAGAACTGTTACCTTTACGTGGGTTAATGTTATCAGTAATGTGTAGAACTGTTACCTTTACGTAGGGTTATGTTATCAATAATGTGTAGAACTGTTATCTTTACGTGGGTTAATGTTATCAATAATGTGTAGAACTGTTACCTCTACGTGGGTTAATGTTGTAAATAATGGCATCTTTGTTTCGAAGTAGCCATTTCACCGTAATGACATTTCTGGGTAAAACGTCCACTGAACTAGCACACACACATCAGGTTTTTCCTTTTCCGCCAATATGGTAGTATTCATTTTTCTTGCTCTAAGTGCCGTGTTATTGGCACTCAGCGCTACCGTGAATTAGTGTGACATGTGATGTGTCTGGTCTATAGGAGTGTAGGACAAAAGCCCCTCGGACAAAAGCCCCCTAGAACAAAAGTCCCCCAGGAGAAATAATAAAAAAAATTAAAATTATTAATTTTTTTTACAGTTTATGAACAGTTCTCTCACCTAACCTAACCTTCGGGAATTCTGTTATAGTTATAAAGAAGTATACAAGGAATGTTTATTGATCTGCAATGACGTATGTTTTGTCTACTGGGGTAATTACTCCCCTGACATTGAGTGACCTCACTGGGCCCTCGGGTCACCTCAGTAAATACAGAATGAACATGAAGGGTTCGATTCCCGGGCCGGTGGAAAGTTGTTCGGACACACTTCCTAGCCTCCCTTGGTCCCTGTTCACCTAGCAGCAAAGTAGGTACCTGCTGCAAATCGAAAGTTGCGAATTCGTATTCAGGGACAAGTTGTTGGAGCTTCCAATAACTTGCTTAGACATAAACCATTGACTCTTCAGGCTTCTACGCCCTTGACTCTTCAGGCTTCTACGCCCTTAACTCATGAGACATAAAGGCAATTCGTGTGAGAATTTATATAAACTTCTGTGTAAGGTTTGAGTCCCTTTGGCTGTGAGGTAAGAGGGGAGGAGGAGGATGAAGGAGGGAAGGAGGAGGATGAAGGAGAAGAGACGGGAGTTGCTGACGTGTGTGATTTATTGAGGTCGTGTGTGTGTGACATTTTGTCCGGGTGGGAGAGTGAGGGAGGTGATAGTGAGGGAGGGATGGAGGGAGAGTGAGTGGTGAATGAGGGGGGGAGGAGGTTAAAGTTGTGTAAGTAAGGGAAGGAGGGTGGGAAAGAGAGAGTGATAAGGGTGAATGGGGATAGGTGAAAGTGACTGAGGAAGAGGAAAAGATTTGTAACAAAGAGAAAGAGAGAAAGCGCTGTGTGTAAAAGAGGAAAGTATAGGAGAGAAACACAGAGAAAGACAGTGAGAAATGGAGGTCTCGAGTGGACAATCCTCGACGTTTAATATCCAGTATATGTATTTCCCTGGAGTGACACACAGACCATGAAGAAGAAGACACTAATAATAATAACAATACTAATGTTTAATACGAGTGATTACATAATTCTAATAATGTAATAGAAATGATAATAGTGAAGGTTTTTGGGTGAAGACAGAACGCATGACTATATCCCCACTTTCAATATTAATTAAAAAAAAAAAAAAAAAAATATTCTTGTCGACACTTGATGACTTCCTG